CCCCCCAACAAAAAAAAAAAAAAAAAAAGAACCGAAACCCCAAAGATCTCGGTGGCAGGCTCGGCGTCACTTTGCGACATCTCAGGATGCCGAGCGCCTGGTTTAGGGTTTAGGGTAGTTTTGCTTGGAAGCCAGAGAGATCCCAAGTCGGTGCAGAGGTTACGGGGGTTTAGGGTTTTAGAGGCCTTCGTTGGAGGACCTGGGAAACTTTGCAAGCAGCTTCCGTACTGCTTGGGGGTTTTTTAGGCGGCATAGCTTGGGATGTTTAGGGTTTAGGGTTTAGGGTTGAGGGTTTAGGGTTTAGGGTCCCCTGTATACTAGCAGTCCCAAAAAGGGGCAAAATGAGGGCCCCATCTGAGTTTATGCCGCCGATGACCCTGTAAGCTCACTCGGTTAGATCTTGCCATGGGCTTCGAAGGCCCGAGCAACGAGGGACCACAAAGAAAGAATGCCCAAACGGGGCCGGATTGGGGGGGGGGGGGGGTATGCTCATAACCCTACGGAATAGTTTCTTGCTAAGCCCGCCGATTTTCCAAGTAAAACCTAGACCCCGGAACAAGAAGGGCACCCTTTCTGGTTTTTAAGGGATTATAAGGGAACCTCAACCCTAACAAATGGAAATAAGGGCCTACTCCGGGTCCTAGTCTACGCAACCCTAAACCCTAAACCCTAAACCCCCCAAAGCTGGAGCTGATCTGGACGCAGACTTCGCTCGCCTCCCTCCGCTTGCGCTCCTTCGGGTGCCTGCCACCTCGGCAGTACACAGGGGGTTGTAAGTGGTGTAGGGTTTAGGGTTTAGGGTTTAGGGTTTAGGGTTTAGGGTTTAGGGTTTAGGGTTTAGGGTTTAGGGTTTAGGGACCCTACATCCGAAACCCTAATCCCCAATCACGGGCCTTGCAAGGCCTAAGGACGGCACTCATATCTCTGCTTTGTACCGACCTCCTGGAGCCCCCGAGCCAAAAACCCCAAACCCTTAGGGTTTAGGGTTTGGGGTTTAGGGTGAAAGGCTTGCGAGGGTTTAGGCAAAGGGTTTTGGGGAGTCCGGTTTTAGGGTCAAAGGTTTTGGGTGCTCTAGTGTGCCGAATTGACATGCTTGCGGGGACTCTCTGGACTGGACGCCGTTGCCGAAGGTTCGGGGGTTTGAAGTAGGGTAAATTGAGTCCGGTAGTACTACAGCACTCTTACGATTCCCGTGAAGCACCAGTAATTCAATTGCTCGTGGTAAGCTGGAAGCGAGAAACGAGATATCAGAGCTTAGGCTATAGGTGTTAGGGGGGGAGAGGGAGAATTTGTTTCAAGAGCGAGAGAGTGCGAGAGAGAGAGCGAGAAAGAGAAGCCAGAGGCAAAACCCTAAACCCTCAAAGCTTCGTGATCGCACTTGTTTTCAGCGCCAGCGCCAGCGCTTGGAGGGTGGGTCGTAGGCGTCGTTCTCGTTCTTCTCTCGCTTCCAGCTCGCCTGGTCTTGGCTTGTTGCGTCAAGCAATGGGGGGGGGGGTTTTGGCCAACTTCTCCAATAAGCAATAAGGAGCCCCCCCCCCCCCAAAAAAAAAAAAAAAAGAAAACCTAAACCCTAAAAACTAACCCCTAAACCCTAAACTCAAGGTCAAGTCTCAGTTTGGGCTCAGGGCAAACGGGCCTCTTTGGCTCTAGGCTCGATAGGCTCGAGGCTCCATGAGGTGTCTTGGCAGCTCAGGGTTCAGGGTTCAGGGTTCAGGGTTTAGGGTTTAAGGCCTACGTTTAGGGTTTAGGGCTAGTTTTGACGTCTTCTAGGAAACATTGCTGTCAAGGGCCTTGGCTTTTTCCTTGTCTTTGTTGCTGCTGTTTGTGGTTTGTTTTGCATGGGCTTAGGGCTTAAGCCGCATTCAACGTCGAGGGTACAACCCCTGATTCCCAAATCCCGAAATCACTCGCCCAACCAAAGCCCCCAAAACGCACAAGCCTCCAAACCCCTTGCGAGCCCTCAACCCTAAACCCTAAACACTAAACCCTAAACCCTAAAGCCCTCAACCCCACAAGCCCAGCCAAGCTGCTGCTGAGAGATCGGACTCGGGGTCCCGCTGACCTCTTCCGTGGGCCACTTCTTACGTTTTCTGTGGGGCGAGTTGTGGTTTAGGGTTTAGGGTTTGGGGTTTAGGGTTTAGGGTTGGGGTTTAGGGTTTAGGGTTTAGGGTTTAGGGTTTAGGGTTTAGGGTTTAGGGTTTAGGGGGTTTAGGGTTTAGGGTTTAGGGTTTAGGGTTTAGGGTTTAGGGTTTAGGGTTTAGGGTTTAGGGTTTAGGGTTTAGGGTTTAGGGTTTAGGGTTTTAGGGTTTAGGGTTTAGGGGGTAGTTTCAGGGATTAGGGTCTCCTTTCGATGCTGAAGGCTCGACCCGAAGCCCCTGAACCTCAGCAGAAAACAGAGCGTCTAGTAGCCCTGGAAGACCACCCATACCACTTCTCGGCCCAAGAATCACAAGGGCACCTTCTTTGCTTTGAAGGGGCTATAAGGGAACCTACACCCTGAAAAAACAGGAACCAAGGGGCTACTCTTGATCCTAGGATTTCAAGCCCCCGGGAGCACAGCGCAAATCAAATATATCTAGGTTCGACGATCTCCTGGATTAAGCCGTTAAAAGTTGCCTTTAGACATAGGGCAGGGGTTGCTGAATCCTCATTTAACATGACTATGCCATGTACAGAACAGTAGATTGGGTCGAGCCATGTACAGAACAGTAGATTGGGTCAACGCGAGAGGCTTAGAATCTTCCAGCTTGTGTTCCTCTCTACCCTCATGTACTTTTTAGATGCCCTCGTGCTCGCAGATAACCGCCTACCAAGGACTTCCGACTTTCGCTATCAACGAAGAATCATCAACGTCAAAGCCTCTTATTACTCCCGAGTATCTACAATGCCTGACGTTTGGTATGGATACCCACATCACCCTAAACCCTAAACCCTAAACCGCACCCCTCGGATAGGCTTTGTAAGCTGCAAGAACGGCGGTCTTCTACCGCGTTTCCGTGCCAGGACCCAGGATCCCCCTCTTCCCATGTCCGACTTCACCCTAAACCCTAAACCCTAAACCCTAAACCCTAAACCCTAAACCCTAAACCCTAAAAGGATTGAATTCAGGCTCTGGGGCGACACAGGGGGCCCCTGAAGGGTTTAGGGTTTGGGGAATGAAGATGCCTGGCTGTACGTTTTGGCTTAAAGAGGCGCAGAAAGGGAACCTACGGTGCGCAGCAAGGGGAATCAGGGCCTACTGCTAGGAAACAAAAACCCTAAACCCTAAACCCTAAACCCTAAACCCTAAACCCTAAATCCCACCCGAAACCGCCGGAACTGCATCGGAGGGGCGCTTTGCGGAGCGGGAGAGTTGGTTTCGGAGCTCTTCCCAAAGTAGCTGATCGCTCCGGTCCTTTCTTGTTCTTATGTTTACAGGGTTCGGGGGGCTTAGGGTTTAGGGCTTAAAGGGTTTAGGGGGTTAGGGCTTTGGTTTCAGGGGTGTTAGGGCTTAACGGGTTTAGGGGTTTAGGGCTGCGGTTTCAGGGTTTTGGGGCCAGTTTGGGGGTTTCGGGCTTTTCCCTAAACCCTAAACCCTACACCCTTTTAGGGCTTCCTGAACGTTTCGGCTTCGGGCCGTGGGGCTGTAGAGTTTAGGTTTCGCTGTCCATCTCCAACAATGGGTATCAACCCGGGTTCCGATCAACTTCTCGGCTAATACCCCACGGTTTAGGGTTTAGGGTTTTCTAGTTCATGGTTGGAATACTCATAACATTGAAATTTCTATTCCTTATTGGGTTTAAGTACCCTTGAAAAATTGTAAAATGTTATCCAACTATGACAAAGTTTAGGGTGTTGGGGTTGAGGGTGTTGGGATCTTATCGGTAATGAGCACTACTTGGTTGATGACCGTCAAAGGGCTCCAAACCCTAAACCCTAAACCCTAAACCCTAAACCCTAAACCCCTAACCCTAAACCCTTTAGGTGGCGTGCCTTCAGAAGGGACACGTTGAAATAGCCGTGCCCCGACGCGGTGGCCCTGGAGAAAGCGCGTTCTAGGGTCTCGGGGAAGGGGGGGGGGGCTTACTGCAAAGTCGGAAGCCCGAAGCCCCCAAACCCAAAACCCTAATCCCTAAACCCTAACCCCTAAACTCCTAAACCCTGCTCATCCGAGTGTAGGATGCGCCTTTTCTGGGAGCTGAAAGCAAGGCGTTTCAGGGCCGGAGGGGGGCCTGAGCCCGGTTGGGGGGCCTAGTCCCCTAGGTTCAAACCATGAGAGCCCACACGCTTAGGGTTTAGGGTTTAGGGTTTAGGGTCTAGGGTTTAGGGTTTAGGGTTTAGGGTTTAGGGTCTAGGGTTTAGGGTCTAGGGTTTAGGGTTAAGGGTTTAGGGTTTAGGGTCTAGGGTTTAGGGTTTAGGGGTTGGTACAAAAAAGGCATGACGATGGCCGCAGCTGTTCTGCCTTAGACCCTTCGACCCAAAGACTGTATACCTTGAACCCTGAACGCTAAACTCTAACCCTACACCTTGAGCCCTGAAGACACTCAAGTACAGGCCATGAAGATCCTCAACAGGTGAAAGCTGAAGCTCGCTTTGGCCCAAAAATGTTTTTTTGGGCTTAGGGTTAGGGGCTTTAAATCGGGGTTGGGGTTATAAGGTTTAGAGGCTTGTGGAGTTCTTGGGGTTTGGGGCTTGGGAATGTGTAGGTCGTTTAGGGCTTCCCGAATATGGGGGAGTCAGAGCTTGCGAAGGTTTAGGGTCTCGAGGCTTCGGATAGTAGAGATCCAGGCTTTTCGCTGACATGCCCCACCCCTCTGCAAAAACCCAATCCCTAATATTAAATCCCCCCCTACCCCCAAAACATATTAAATACCCTAATTACCCCGCCATTATAGTGACATTATAGTATATTTTGGGGGATTTTAGTATTAGGGGGTAGGGGGGCGGGGGGTTTAATATTGGGGGAGTGGATTACACACCGAGCTCCCCCCCCCCCCCCCCCCGAAAAGGGCTCTAGGACTTTCCTCGTAGCCCTCTGAAGGCAGCCTGGGCCCTTGAGGAGGTTCAGTTGTTTAGGGAGGTGAGAGCTCAGGTTTGGGGGGGGGTTTTCCGTTGTTAAGGGTTGAGGGTTTAAGGGGTTCATAATACAGGGTAGGTTCAGGGAGGTCAGGGCTCAGGGTTTAGGGCTTGAAGCCATGGGTTCGAGGGTTTAGGGTTTGACCACTAATTGCTTTTCCCCCCCCCCCCCCCCCCAACCCCTAACAAAAAATCCTCACAAAGGCAAAGCTTTTGTTAATTTTATGTTTTTGGGGGTTCTTAAGCAAATAGTAGTTCAGTGTCAGGGTTTCGGGTTGCAGGCTTGGGGGGTTATTCCCGCCTCCTCTTCTTGGGATAGTCGGAGTTTGACAGCTCATCTGGCACCTGCTGTCGCCCCCCGCTATCGTAGTACCTACATTCACTCTTCTCCCCTGCCAGCAAACCCTAGACCCTTCAAACATGACACCCAAACCCTTAAACCCTAGAAACCCATCAAAAATCCTAAAAGCCCATAACCCTAAACCCTAATCCCCTAAACCGCTATAAATGCGCAGAAGCCGGGACCCTTTTCTAAACACTACAAACCCACAACAATCCCTATATAAAAAAAATATCTGTGTTTTTTGGGGGGCTCCTAAGCAGTACAGTAGTAACCCGAAACCATAAAACCTTAACCCGAAACCCGAAACCCTAAACCCTAAACCCTACCTGCTCATGGTCTTGGCCTCGACTGGGCTTGGGGCTCAGGCTCCGCGACGTAGGCTTCAGGGCTTCAAAGGGTTTAGGGTTTAGGGTTCAGAGACCCTCACAAGGGAATTGAGAAGGGTTTTAGGGTTTGGGGTTTAGGGTCTAGGGCTTGTATAAATTTTGGGAGTTTAGGGTTTAAGGCTTGTATGAATTTGGGGGTTTAGAGTTGGGGGAACCCTCAACCCTGAACCCTGAACCCTAAACCCTAAAGCCCCCCGACCCTCCCCAAAATGAACCCCCGGAGCCCCAAGCAAGGACACCTCCACCATGCAGGTGTGGCAGCGCTTGCTTGACCGGTGGGCCGTTTCCTGGGACTGATTGAAGGAGTAGGGTTTAGGGTTTAGGGTTTAGGGTTCAGGGTTTAGGGTTTATCGTTTAGGGTTTAGGTTTTAGGGTTTAGGGTTTCGGGTTTAGGGTTTAAGGTTGAGAGTTTAGGGTTTAGATTAGGGTCTAAGGTTTAGGAGCTGCTGAATATCACCCCCTCCTTCCCTGACCCTCACCGACCTCCCATCGAATTCATATTAGGTATGGGTACAACGTACGCCAAATAAGATCACTGGCTAATTAGAACCAGTGTCCTGCTTACAACCCCAGTCACAACTACTCATAAACCTCCTCCCTCCACGCCTTGGCTCTAAGGAGATTCAGCAGCCCGCCCCGAAACCTACCGACCTTCAAGTATACTCAGAGTTCGAAGCTGGGGATTTGGGGTGGACCCGGGGGTCAAGGTTTGACGATTGAGGGTTTACGGTCTATGTAACTCAAAACTGAAACTAGCAGCACAGTAGTATTTGTAGTACCAAGAGTAACAGTACTACTCGGGCGAAAGTGTTAGGGCTGGGGACAACTTGAGCGGTCCAGTATTTAGGGAACAATGGAGCCAAATCCTATGACTACACCCTCAGGCAGGCGTCGCTCACCGTGTCGATGATGGCTTTCACCTTGCGGCGAACACACGAGTGACTTTCAGATTCTGTTATATATGTATATATATATATATATATCCCTGAACTGAATGAAGTCAAGGTTAAACCTTTGGACTTCCTTGGGCGCACACTGCCCAAAGATTAAGGGTACCAAATCGACTGCTACGGCAGTGCCCCAGCGCCTGCACTCCGAAGTGTGTAGGAGATAACTTCGGGGGAGAGAAGAAAGCGTATGTTGATGGAGTGAGACTTAGGGTTGGGGTCTAAGGTTTCATAGGGCGCTTCTGAGTTCGGATCAACAGTAAGCCCGGAATGTGGGCGCTCATACAAGGTGCTTAATGTGACGAGTTCTAGTGGGGGAGGAGGGTTCAAGCGCACTAGCGGGATTTTGGCGGTGAGCTGAGTGGGCTCAACGGGCTTTGCCGAAGCATATTGGACACTAAACCCTAAACCCTACACCCTAAACCCTAAACCCGAAACCCAACGCTGGGGCTCGCACGTCTCGGAAACTGGAGACCGTGTCGCTGGGGGAGTGGACCTTGGCAAGAATGCAGCCCTACACCCGATTTCCGAAGCTCAAATCTTAATCCCTGTTCCCCTAGGAAGAAAAAGGATCCTTTTTGTTATATAAGAAAGCCCATAACCCAAAAAGTAAAAAGGATCCCTAACACTGATTGAGAAATGGGAAACCCCAAGCCCTGAACTTTTTACCCCCCCACCCCCCCGGGTGCGTGACTTGTACACCCGGTGAATGGAGCTAGCTAGTGACCGGAAAGGTAGGTGGGTGTCATGACGTGCGCAAGAATGGTGACTCGCTGTAGAATCTGAAGAATCTGTGCAACTGTTCTCTTTTCGTGTTGATGTTGGCGCACTGCTGATGCCATTCATCCTCTTTCCGCTGCACTGTCTTTCCCACCTCCTGTGCAGTCAATCCGACCACGCGGCAATCATTGCTGATGGTGGTGCTGAAGGCGGGAAGTTGAACCGTGAGATGCAGCTTTCTGTGTGTACCGTTTGGAGACAAGGCTCGGCCCAAGTCACATCCTCCACGGATGGACCTCGCGAAGAGTTTCCTTAATACTTCGTTGTGCCAGTCAGTGCACCGCCGCTGCAGAAAGAACTGCACCAAACCTCACACAGCAAACTCCGAATTTATTAGGGTGTTTAGGGTTTAGGGTTTAGTCTGTAGCAGCACGATACGGATCGAATTTTTGGGGCCTTGGGGTTTTGGGGGCGACCCGATCTCCTTGGCCTTTGGGGCGTTCGGGGTTTAGGGTTTAGGGTTTAGGTTCATAGGTGTAGGGATTTAGGGCGCTTCGTTTTTTTTGGGATTTGGGGGGGCTAAGGTATTCAGGGTTTAGTGTGAGGATGTCAGGCGAATGCTCATTGGGAACAACGGAACAAACATAAAAACTCTTACGCACCTGTGGGCACGGAGGCCCCAAGCGAGGGACTGAAATGCCTGTGCGTTTTAGGGTTGAGGGTCTAGGGGCCTTCCTCAACCCTGAACCCTAAAGCCTAAACCCTCGCTATGCACGTTCAAGCTGGAAGCCTCACGCCAGCCCTAAAGACCCTAAAATTCCTAGAGGGCGAATTCGTGATTGGATCCCAACGAGACCCACGGCCTAAGAAACTGCACCGGGATTGCATCAAAAGGAGGTTCTGCTACCTTCGACCAAAAAGTTGCCTGGAGCATGACCTAAACCCTGAACCCTAAACCCTAAGCCCTGAACTGTAAGACCAAGACCCTAAGCCCTAAACCCCAAGCCCTGAACAATAAACTCTAAACTGTCTAAACTCTAAGCTCTAAACCCTAAGCCCTGAAACCCTAAACCCTAAACCCTAAATCCTAAACCCCAAACCTTAAACGATCTGCCACAGCTGGGGGCGCGGCTCCCAGGACGATGGGCACATCGGCAAGACGCGGGATCTGTTGGTGAAGATACCAGTCGAAGACCCGACCTCTTCTTACTGGCCAATCGGGAGTGGGGGTTTAGGGTTTAGGGCTTAGGGCTTAGGGGAGTGAGGTACCCTATATAATCCCTTGAAGCATGAGGGTTCAGGGTTTAGGGTTTGGGGTTTAGGGGTTTGGGGTTTAGGGGTTTGGGGTTTAGGGGTCTTGGGTTTTGGGGGTTTTGTGGGCTTCATCTGGGATGCAAGGCTCCAGATTCCGCAAGGGGATTTCTCTGAAGCCTCTCAAGCTCCCAAAAGCCCTATGAGCCCACCCTACACCCTAAAGCGCAAGAGCCCTAAACCTTGCTCTTGGTTAGCAGGGAATGAGGGAATGAGGGCCCTATACATACCCTTCAAGGGATTATATAGGGTACCTCATTCCCCATTCCCTACTAAACAACAGTAAGAAACGCCCAAAAACTCTGGAGCCCCTTAAGTAAAAGCCTAGTTGTATAGGGACCATACGCGAATACTATTAGTACGTATTCCGACCCCTAGAGTACCCTAAACCCTAAACCCTAAACCCAGTATTTCCGACCCCTAACGTACCCCCCCAAATGCGGCCCAAACGGCGTCCTTTGGGCTGCGGAGCGCCCGACCTCTCCGTTGACTCGGAGGTGCCTTCCGCTGGTTTTTAGAGGTTGAACGGTTCGGGGTTTAGGGTTTAGGTAGGGTTTAGGGATTTAGGATTTAGGGTTTAGGGTTTAGGGTGCCTTCTGCTGGTTCAGGGTTTAGGGTTTAGGGTTTAGGGTGCCTTCTGCTGGTTCAAGGGGTTGAAAGGTTCAGGGGTTTAGGGTGCCTTCTGCTGGTTCAAGAGGTTTGAAAGGTTCAGGGTTTAGGGTTTAGGGTTCAGGGTTTAGGGCTTCAAGGGTTTGAAAGGTGAATGTTTAGGGTTTGGGGGGTGTGAAAGAGTTGGGGTTCAGGTTTCAGGGATTGGTGCTTGCGAGGTTTAGGTTTTAGGGAGTGGTGCCCGTGCGGGAGTGCAAGTAGACCGCGTGAACTTTGGACCTGTAAGAGAATTGGAGCCTGTTCTCAGGCCCCTTAAGGTGCTTAGGGCTTCAGGGCTTTGCTCTAAACCCGCAATCCCAAACCCCCAAACGCTAAACCCAGAAGGCTGTGGGTAGGGTTCAGGCCCGCCCCCCCTCCTTGTATAAGGTGAAAACCAGTGAAAGCTATAGGTACCCCTAAACCCTAAACCCTAAACCCTAAACCCTAAACCCTAAACCCTAAACCCTAAACCCTAAACCCTAAACCCTAAGCCTCACGTGCAACTACCCATGAACCTCCATGTACCCCAATTCATGATCTCCTAACCGGCCCTGGGGTCTGCGAGAGCGGCTTTGTAGGGTTTAGGGTTTAGGGTTTTAGGGTTTTAGGGTTTAGGGTTTTAGGGTTTAGGGTTTAAGGGTTTTAGGGTTTAGGGTTTTAGGGTTTTAGGGTTTTAGGGTTTAGGGTTTAGGGTTTTAGGGTTTAGGGGGATAGGCTACACCGAGATGTGGAAACGCAAGTCTGCTCCCTCCCCCAATGACAGCTGGCTAGCATGAATCTCCAAGCAAGGGCGCACCCGAAACCCCCAAACCCCCCAAACCCCCCAAACCCCCAAGCCCTAAACCCAAAACCCTGAACCCTAAACCCTAAACCCTCAACAAAGAGACATAGGGGCCCATTCCTTGCATAATAGCGGCCCATGCCGTAGCCAGCAACCGAGACCACGGCATCGTAGGCCTGCCAGGGCAAGACCGTGCTCCCCGCGGCGAACCGTTGGCTTCAGGTTAGGGTTTAGGGTTTAGGGTTTAGGGTTTAGGGTTTAGGGTTTAGAGTTTAGGGTTTAGGGTTTAGGGTTTAGGGTTTAGGGTTTAGGGTTTAGGGTTTAGGGTTTAGGCTCCAACGCGTAGAAGAGCAGCTGAGCGGGCACAGATTTTTCGGGCTTGGGATTTCTTAGCTGGAGCCAGCCCCCCCCCCCCCCCCCCTGAAACCCCACAAATTCAACCCTAAACCCACACCCTAAACTAACCCTAAACCCTAAACCCGAAACCTTACCTTAAACCCTAACCCCCCCCCCAGCACAGCCTCAGGCGCGTGGCAGCCGAGTTGTAGTGCTCCGAAGCCGCCCATGCTGTACCTTTTGGGCTCAAGCGGCATTTCGAAGTGTCGTTTGAGTATTTTTTTACTATTACTAATATTGTTATTATTATTACTATCATTATGACGATTATTATCATTCTTCTTCTTCTTATTATTGTTGTTATTATTATTATTATGTTGGGGGGGGAGCTCTTGAGTTATTTTGCTTATTTCATTTGTTGGTTTTCGTTTGGCTTCTGTTATATTTTCTTTTCAGCTTTTTGAGGTTTAGTTGATTTTATTGTTGTTGTTATTGTTTTGTTTTAATATTTTTTTTTGGGGGGGGGGGGGGGTTTGCTTTATTTCGGGCTTAGGGTGTGGCATTGGTCAGCTGAAGGCAGTCGTGAGAAGAACCCGGCCTCCAGGGCTTGGGAACCCTAAACCCGAAACCCTAAACCCTACTAAACCCTAAACCCTAAACCCTAGTTGCAGCTGGCCAGCCCCATCACGAGGACGCGCTCCGCATCGAAGTAGTCTGCTGCCTCGTTCACCTTTCTTAAGGGGTAACGGGTGAGGGGTTTAGGGGTCTAGGGGGTTAGGGGTTTAGGGGTTTAGGGGTTTACTAGGAGGTTCATGGTACTTACTAACCAATTATAACTGGGCTCATAATTGGTTAGTAAGTACTATGAACCTCCAAGTAGGGGTTTAAGGGTTTACGGGTTTAGCATCCTTCCGATGTCTTGCAGTCCATGCGTCCCGGCCTGCCCCAAATCCTCCACTAGGATGGATCTTAAAACCCTCTGAAAAAGACTCCTAAATGTGAACCTCTTAAACCCAAAAAGGGCAAATATAGAATATCCCAAGGGCCAACCTAGTCTAGAGAGCCTGTGTACGATTGCACCTCGCGTGCAGTTTCGGACCGCGTGAGCTGAGTTTAACATCTACAACGTCTGGAGCCCAAAGAGATAGAGGACACGAAACAGCTCGCCATCATGCCTGCAATTGGAATGCTTTTGGCATGTGCTTAAGAGCACGTTGGCGTTATGAGTGCTTATTGATGAATCGTTCAGTTGGCCAGGCCGTGCCGTCCCGTGACCCGCAAGCCCAGAGGCTTATGAAGAATACGCACACACACAGACAATCTGGGTGAGGGTTTCGGGTTTAGGGTACATGCACTTCAAGCCACGGGGGGGCAGATTTTCTTTGCCAGGGGCCACGGCGGCGAATTTGCGTACATTACTTCCGCCCTGGCTCTTGGGGTGTGAGTCCCTCTCTCTCTCTCTGTTTCTCAAGAGAGGCGGGATATGCCTTTGTACCACGGGCATTACATACCCTTCTAAGCCCTGCAACTCCTTCCCCACTCCACCAGCCTTCGATGTCAGCTTTGCCAGCAGGGGCTCGCAAAGATCCCCGTGCACGTGGCCCAGATCCTGCAGGGGCAGAGATGTGTCAGGCTGGGAGTCTTAACCGTCTGAAGTGTCGCGTAGCCCCCAAGTGTCGTTAAAAGAAAAATTGCTGCAAGGAGAAGGGTACCATGTTCGAGCACTGAGGAAGGACGAAGGAGGGAACGTGAAGAGCGAACGCTGGACTCCGATTTCCGCGCATCCGTTCGATCCGGTTCACCGTTGCTGCGGACCGTTTTTTGGGAAGATGGCGCAGGGAAAGAATTCTCAGGGATTCACAGTGCTCTGAAAAGCTTCGGCACAAAGGGCTCCCGTGCCGCCAGTTCCTGTTTTCGAGGCACCTTTGAGAGGTGCCCTTTCGCTGGATGTTGCCACTAAGAGGGTCCCTCGTCTAGGGCCCCCTTCTTTGACCGGGTAAGACTCGGCGTTCAAGACAGCGTGTGGAGGGAAGTGACGAAGAGACTCCCGAGAGGAGAGTGTTCTGTGTTCTGAGGAGAGAGCTATGCTCTCTCCACCCAGCTCTGAGGCGTGCATCCCAATCACTCAGCAAGGACTTCTGATTGTCTACGCCCGCACTACTTTTGGGGGGCCGTTTGAATCCTTTGGCCCTGACTATCCGGACCTCTTGTGCCGATCCCCTCCGAACTCGAAACGGCTTGAGAATCTGCTTTGCATCTTTGGGTCCACGGCCATCGGCTCTCTGAGATTCCCAAACACCTGGCACAGCTAGGGAATCGCTTGGAGATGGGCCAAAAAAGGGGCCGTCTAGGGCCCCCCCCCTTTGGGTGGCTTCCTTCTGTCACAGTTTGCGGCGCTCGCGCAGCTTTCACATCTCTCTCATGTTGAAATTCATCAGCACTGTTCATTGGGGGGCTGATGACTGACTTCCCTCGCCTGATGAGTGAGGGCTCGTAGTGCCCTGCAAGCCCAAAAACACCTAAAAGCGTAGTACCATTCGCTTCGCATAGCTTCGGCTCATGAGGCACGCTCTTGGGAAGGGCTGATGAATGCTGACTTCTCTCCTTCACACGTATCGGCATCCATGCGTCGTAGCTCTTCCCCGCATTAGCACTACTTCTCACGTTTAACCCACACCGTTTGGACGGTCTGGCTCATTGCGCATCTTTGTCATCTGCTCTCTAGGGGCTTTCGCAAATCTCCCGTCTCTAATTGCGGGTGGACCGGGTCCACCCGCCACTGTGCCTCTGCTTTGCTTCATGGCCTTCTCCGACGACACGGTCTAGCGTCCTTCAATCCAAGACACGGCTGCACAGTCTTCCTACAACTTGCTGTGTGATGAGTGGCTCTCGTAAGCCTCCGCAAGCCAAAAACCTAAATAGTACCATTCGCATGCTTCGGCTCACAAAGAACGGCCTGCACACGTGTCGATATGTATGCGACGTAGCACTTCCCCCCCCACAGCCCTTGTTCTTGCATGCATTAAGGGACACAGCGCTGCTTCTCATGTTTAACTCACACCGTTTGGACGGTCTGGCTCATTGCGCATCTTGGTCATCTGATGTCTAGGGGCTTTCGCAAATCTCCCGTCTCTAGTCGCGGGTGGACTGTGTCCACCCGCCACTGTGCCTCTGCTTCGCTTCATCGACTTCTCCAACGACACGGTCTAGCGTCCTTCAATCCAAGACGCGGCTGCACACTCTTCCTACAGTTTGCTGTGTGATGAGTGGGCTCCTCTCGTAAGCCTTTGCAAGCCAAAAACCTAAATAGTACCACTTCGGCTCACAAAGAATGGCCTTCACACGTGGCGATGTGTATGCAACGTAGCACTCCCCCCCCCCCCCCCCCCCCCCCCCCCCCCCCCCCCCCCGCCGCGCCCCCCCACAAAAAAGGTCCTTGTTCTTGCATGCATTAAGGGACACAGCACTGCTTCTCATGTCTAATTTTGGACGGTCTTTCTCATTGTGCATCATGGTCATCTGATGTCTAGGGGCTTTCGCAAATCTCCCGTCTCTAATCGCGGGTGGACCACGTCCACCCGCCGCTGTGCCTCTGCTTCGCTTCATCGACTTCTCCGACGACACGGTCTAGCGTCCTTCAATCCAAGACACAAGTTGCTATGCGGTGAGCGGGCGCTCGAAATCCTCTGGCTGAAAGCCCGATGAGTCTAAGTAGTACCACTCGCATTGCTTCGGCTCATAGAAAGCAGGGCTTGGGAAACGGGGGCTGTTGAATGCTGAATTCCCCCTCATAGCCTTCGCATGTATCGACATCCTTCCATCTGTGCTTTACAGCAACCCCTTGTCCAAGATATTGCCGACGCGTGCCTCATCTCTGCAACCCCAAGTCGTTTAAGAGGAACCTAAGACATCCGGCTGTATGAGACATGAGCTTGTCATAGCTTGTCATATACAGGGTCTCTTGCAACAAAGGCATGCTGCAGCTGGCCTCTTCCTGCGCGTCAACTAGAAGTCGGCTAGGTGCTGCTACTGCCTTCTCGCGTCCTCTCGCCGGCGTGTGACATCCAACTGTTGGGTCCAGGAATTCGACACGGAGCTTCGTACGCAACTGCCTCGCGTGATTAGAGCTGCTGGTTGCAACCCTCAGCCCCTTCAAGGCGTAGCTATTGGAGACCTGAAAACATGCCCCTGTTGCAGCTGCCGTTGCCAGTGCACAGGCATCGCCGGGATACTCGGGACTGTCGAAACCTTCCACGGTGCTCCCAGCATAGCGCCAGGAGGAACTTGCTCAGCAGGCAGCACTAAAGTCAGAAACCCGAAGACCCGCACAACTTCACGTTGCGACTCCCCAGAAGGGACGAAAAACACTGGAAATGCCGTTCTCAAACCTAAACGTGTCCCGCGACCCATCCAGGCCCCTCTTGGGAAGTATCTGCCCGTCGTTACACCAACAGCTGCACTTGAGGCACGCACCTGTTTGTTCTGGGCCTTCGTGAAGGTGCACCCCCAACTGAAGTGCATTCCTGACAAGGGCGGCGTAGGATGAGGCGTTTAGCGTTTAGGCGTGCGGATTTCGGATTGCAGGGCTTCAGCGGGTTGTACATTGAATTTCCCAAAGCCACCCATCTCCTGGCCAAGCAAGACCTCAACCCTTCTGAGCACCCCCCACAACCTAAACCCGGAATAGCGTGCTCAACCCCCTAAACCCTAGACCCGAAACCCTAAACCCCAAACTGACAGGTGTCCGTTGTGCGGCTCCGGATTGGTCGGTACGAGGAAGATCACCCGCCGCCAAAGCCTGTCGGACACGTAAATAGGTGTTTACGGTTTAGGGTTCAGGGTAACCTCGAAAAAATAGTTCTGCCCAAAACGGTCAGCCCTCAAGCACCAGCACCCACAAAACCCCTCCCCTAAACCCCTAAACCTATAGGGTTTCTCAGGGAGAGGGTATTTCTCCCCACGACTCCTTACAGCTCCCGAAGCTTGCACAAGTTCCTTTTTCGGTACCTCCCCCATGACCCCCCCCCCACTCCCTTAAGGACCCTAAACCTTTTTCAAGACACCTGCGAGCTGAAACCCCCCCTTTCCGCCCCCCCCCCCCCCCCCCCCCCCGCCCCGCCCCCCCCGCCCCCCCTTTCCCCGCCCCCCCCCCCCCGCCCCCCCCCCCCCCGCCCCCCCCCCCCCCCCCCCCCCCCCCCCCCCCCGCCCCCCCCCCCCCCCCCCCCCCCCCCCGCCCCCCCCCGCCCCCCCCCCCCCCCCCCCCCCCCCCCCCCCCCGCCCCCCCCCCCCCCTGCCCCCCCCCCCGCCCCCCCCCCCCCCCGCCCCCCCCCCCCCCCCCCCGCCCCCCCCCCCTCCCCCCCCCCCCCCCCCCCCGCCCCCCCCCCCCCCGCCCCCCCCCCCCCCCCCCCCCCAAACAAAGCAAACCCGACAACGCCACGAACAACACCTCCTATACCAACCCTGCTCTGGCTGAGAGCCCCCCCCCCCCCCCCCACAGAAACAAAGCAGCCGCAAGCCCTGAGCCAAACCTAAACCCTAAACCCCTAAACCCTAAACCCTGAACCCCTAAACCCCTAAAACACCATGCAAAAAATGAGGTACAGCACAAAGAGGTGCGATGCCTCCGTTGCAGCTTTCGCAGCGTTCCGGCGTCGATGGGACCCTGGTGCATTCCATGGAGCCAGACCACGACGTACCTTGGGAGACAAGCGTTTGGGGTTTAGGGTTTAGGGTTGAGGTTTAGCACTTAGGGTTTAGGGTTTGAGCGTTTGAGTGACAAACGGGGTTTGGGGTTTCGGGTCCAGGGGAAAACGGGGCTTTGGGGTTTCGGGTTGAGGGGGATGCTTTTTGGAAAACCAGGGTTTGGGGTTTCGGGTTCTTCACAACACCCAAAGCCACCAAACTGACAACACAAACGCAGCCTTCAAAGCAACCGGTATAAAAAATCCTTAAGCTTAAGCCCCAAACCCAAAAGCCCCTAAAGCCCAACCCCAAAACCACACAGGCTAACCACACCTGGGAAGCCTTTTTGACTTACCCTCTAAACCCTCTAAACCGACCCCATAAAAGCCCTATAGAAACCCTGTAGAAACCCTTACAGCCACCCTAGAAAACCCTGAATCCCTACATAAACCCTATAAAAACCCTATAGAAACCCTACAAACCCTAGAAACCCTGTATAAACCCCCTTTGCCTGCCGGGGCCTATATAAACCCTATAAAAGCCCTATAGAAACCCTACAAACCCTATACAAACCAACCGAAAAGCCCTTTGCCCGCCGGGGCTCGGCTTCTCCCAGCGCTGCCAGTGGTACAGGTCTGCCTTCGACTCGTAGACGCTGATGGAGGAGCGCCCAAAATCTGCGAGAGCCCCTAAACCCTAAGCTAAACCCTAAACCCTAAACCCTAAACCCTAAACCCTTGTTTTCTTGAGAGCCGAGGGCGTTGAGGGTTTTTAGGAGTTGTGGGGTTTTGGGTTTTCCGGTTTAGGGAGGCTTCAGTGTTCAGAGTCGCGTTCAGAGTGTAGGGTGAACCACCGAAGCCCTCTCGAGCCCTCACACCCACGGAAACTGCCAGCCGCGCGGCCCCAGCCACACAACTCATCTGTCCACCTTGCGCGCTGCGACAGGTTGCAGAGTTGCAGTTGATTCTGCAGGGGTTCTAGGGTTTAGGGCTTTAGAACCCCACGCCCCGAAGCCACACACATCCTCAGGCCCTAAAACGCCGGAAATTGAGGGGTCCTGATGTTGCAAAGTTCTACCCTCAACGCCCTCGAGCTCCACAGAAATCCTAGGCCTTTAAGGCCAAAACCCTTCAGCCCATGCAGCACGGTCTTTCATATGTACAACATGGAGTTTAGCGTGGTATTGTAGGCTTCGGCTTGCGAAAGCCTAACGAATGCTGGGGAGGGCATACTTTTGAGGCTCAGCTGAATAATTGCATCAGAGCCACAACTCTCGAAAGTCCCGATACATGCTTGGCTCACCAAGGGTTCAGCGCAAGCAGGCTTACGGAAGGCTGTCTTGCGCCTGGTGCGATGTAGGTCCACGTGCCTTGCAACCACCCACCTCAAATCCTGATGCTCCCAGAAATCGCCTACGATGATGGGGCGTGCCTTTCTCGAATGTGAACTGCTGTGCCTTCTGTCTTTACAGTATACGATGCAGATCCGCGCCGGCAAAGTGGGGGGGTGCTGCTGTGGTGCGTGCGAATTTGGCTTGAGCCACTCTGGCTGCGTCGCGTAGAAGAGCATTGCGGGCTGAGCTTGCGAACGCCCCGCACCGACCAAGCGCTCAAGCAAGGCCTAAAACCCTAAACCCCTTAACCTGAAGGTATGAACTGTGGGGTCTACCCTAAACCCTGAACTCGAAACACTAAACTCACCCCCACTCCTCCCCTCCCTCACCACCCGGAAAATGAGGGGTCCCGGCTTGCAACGGCAGATGCTGGCAAAAAAACCGGAGGATCCTCAAACCCGGATGCGCTTAAGGAACCCCAAGCAAATCTTAAAAAAAACATTGCATGTAGGGTTTAGGGTTTAGTAACCAATGGTTTAGGCTTTAGGGTTTAGGGGAACTACCTTAAACCTAAACCTGCCATGGTGTCTGTACGGGGTTTGGGGTCGGGCCGTCTGTGTTGGTATGCGAGGGGTCCCTGAGCCCTAAGTCCTTTGGGGGTTTCGGAGCTAAACCCTAAACCCTAAACCCTAAACCCTAAACCCTAAACCCTAAACCCTAAACCCTAAACCCTAAACCCTAAACCCTAAACCCTAAACCAGTAAACCCTAAACCCTCAAAATACTGAGCCGGCTGCATGGTTCTGGGAAGGCCCAGGATCAGCACGACAGTGCCCCGCTTTGCCTGGCATTCTAGGAGGGGGATGGGTTTAGGGTTTAGGGTTTAGGGTTTAGGGTTTAGGGTTTAGGGTTTAGGGTTTAGGGTTTAGGGTTTAGGGTTTAGGGTTTAGGGTTTAGGGTTTAGGGTTTAGGGTTTAGGGTTTAGAGAGGATCGGGGTGCTTACCCAGACACCTGGGAGGATCCAGCAAGTAGATCCCCCTAAGGGGCATAGGTTTCAGGGTTCAGGGTCTAGTAGATCCTAAAGATGGTCCAGCAGTAGTGTAGAGTACTACTTGGGGGGCTCCTACTTCTTGGATCCATCCGGGGGGTCTGGGTGGCAAGTAGGTACCAAGTAGAGTAGTATGTAGGGTTGAGGGTTTTTGGGTTTAGGGTACAACGTAGAGACGCCTGGGCTTATCGTACTTCATAGTCACCGCCTCAAGGTCGGGGGTCCTCTAAACCCGTGAGCCCCGTTTAGGGTCAAACCATATGCGTGGGGAGGTTTTGGGGTCTAGGGTTTGAGGGGGGTGTGTTAGGGCTGAATTAGGGTGAAATTGGGGAAGGTGCCCAATGGGCTTCGTTGTACTCAAAGACGGCCTGACGCCACCTCGAAACATCTCTCTGTCAATGCCTCGAGGTTGTTGTGATGTCTTTGCACGAGTCCTTGGAGCAACTCAAGCAGCTCGGGCGAATGCATCTTCACCGTCGACCAAAACCCCTTAGCTCTGTGCGATGCTCTTGCCACGTGTTGAGGTCCAGCAACACGACTGAACCTGGACTAGTCCGGGCACGCCATCCCATGTTGCAATTCGAAATGTCTTTCACCGACGCCTTTCTAGATGCAAGGCTGACAGTGAAGAGCACACTCCAAATCAAAACCTCGTTGAGCTCTGGTAGAGGGCTTACCCTTTCAGTCTCCATCAACTCCATCATGAGCTCGTCGGTGCCATGCGGGCCATGGCATTGGACTTTCGCGGTGTCCTTTGCTTCCGCCCAACTCAGACTACAGCAAAACCCCAATCCCTAAACCCCCAAACCTATCTAAGCCCCTTTCTACGACAAGCCGAACAAAACTAAGCCCCTCAACCTCGAACTCCCACTCCACCCCCCTAAACCCTAAACCCTAGACCCTAAACCCAAAACCCTATCAACCTCAAGCCCTAACCTGAAAATCCTAAACTCTCCAAGGGCACAACAACCTCGAAATCTGTAAAGTCCTAAACCCTGAAACACAACAACCAAAGCTCTAAACCCCGAAGCCTGAAAAACCCCAAGCCCTGAGCTCAAAACCCTACAGCCTAAGCTGAAAACCCTAAACCCGTACCCCTAAACTCCAGATGCCCAAAAAACCCTAAACCCTACTCCCAAATAGGTCGGATTCAGTGAATCCTAAGGGAGGCGAAGTAGACACACCCTAAACCCTAAACCCTAAACCCTAAACCCTAAACCCTAAACCCTAAACCCTAAACCCTATACCCTAAACCCTAAACCCTAAACCCAAGAGCTTCTAAGCAAGCCCCTGGCTGCCATCGACCCTGCCTCGACCTGCAGCTCGAGCCATCGCTGGCGGACCTACTCTGTGGCTTAGGATTTCGGGTTTTGTAAGGTTTTAAAGGGTTTTGTAGGGCTTTAACGGGTCTTGTAGGGTTTTATAGGGTTTTGTAGGGTTTGTAGGGTTTATAGGGTTTAGTAGGGTTTTGTAGTGGTTTATCGGGTTTTGTAGGGTTTTATAGGGTTTTGTAGGGTTTTGTGGGGTTTTGTAGGGTTTTTGTAGGGATTTTGTAAGGTTTGGTAGGGTTTTAAAAGGTTTTATAGGGTTCACAGGGTTTTTAAGAGTTTTTAAGGGTTTGGGGTTTTGTCGTATTTTGTAGGGTTTTATAGGGCCTTGGGGCTTAATGCCCTCTCCCTAATTAGGATAAATTACCCCTTACCCCCTAATATCAAATACTCCCATGATAGTTACATTATGGTACATGGGGGGTATTTAATATTGGGGGGTAGGGGGGGTTAATATTCGGGGGAGGGGTTTACTGAGCTCTTTGAAAAATGTTTATGAATAGGTTCCCTTAAACGGAAAGGGGGGAAGCGCAAGATTCTCCCAAAGCACGACCCAGTTCAAGGTTCTAAGGTCTAAGGTTTTTGTGGGTTTTAGGGTTTTCTGGGTTCTTTTTGGGGCTAAGATGTTTTGGGTGAAGGGGTTTTGGGGTTTCAGGCTTTCCGGTTTAAGCAAGGTCTAGGGGCTACGGAACTAGGGCTTAAGCCTCAGGGTTCCGCGCCGAACGGCAGAAAAAGCGTAGCAGCAGCCTTGTGACAAGCTGAAGTTGCCAGTAGAGCGACTTGCATACTGAAGCTGAAGCCATCATCCCAGAACCCTACAAACCCTACAAACACTACAGACCGTCTAAACAACCCCATTACACCTACAAAGCCCACTACACCCGTGAACCCTACAAAGCCTATAAACCCTCAAGATCCCTATAAACCCTATAAAAACACCCTAAATCCTAAACCCGAAACCCTTCAAGCCCCAAAACCCAGCTTTTTGAGAGCACCTTCACTTCCTGACCCATCCCCCGCGCCACAGGAGGTCGCCATGCGACCCAACCCTATTCCATCTTAGGGGTCTAGGGTTTAGGGATCAGGGTTTAGGGTTAGTACCCTAAACCCTAAACCCTAAACCCTAAACCCTGAACCCTAAGTAGGGCTTAGGGTTTAGGGTTTCGAGTTGAGGGTTGCGCCGAGAAGCCCAGCCTCCGCTGCCGACCCAGAGAGGAGCCGTTCGTAGGTCCTTAGCTTTCCCCGGCTGAGCTTGGCGTTCGTGGTTTCGGGTTTAGGGCTTTCGGCTTTCGGGTTTAGGGTTTTAGGGTTCAGGGTTAGGGCTTTAGGGTTTATGGTTTAGGGCCTAGGGGAGAAGAAGGATTTAAGTTGTACGTGTGAAGAAAGAACACCACTGTTCCTACTTCCTAGACGCCTACAACCCTGATCTGAGCCTTTAGGCTTCGATGCTGAGAAGGTAAGGTAGGGTGTCGGGTTTAGGGCGTAGGAACCGTAAACCCTAAACCCTAAACCCTAAACGCAGCTTGGAGGGCTTTGGCCACCTGGGGAATTCTCTCCCAGGGCTCTAAAGCTCTTGGCTACTTCGTGTAAGCATCCCGAGCCATCCCCACGACACCTACTGCGCCTTTTTTGAGCCATGGCCAGGCCAATTGAGTTCTCCCACCGAAGCATCTACCTTCCGAAGCCCTAGACCCTAAACCCTAAAACCCAAAACCTCATGAGGTTTCGGGTTTCTAGCATCGTTCGGCACGACGCAGACGAGCCAGTCGCCGGCCTGCTCCGGCGCACTTGTGCTGCGCGAACCAAGCAGCTTCTGCTCAGTGTAGCAGCGGTTGCAGACATGTCTCCGACGAGTCTTCCAGCCGCCGCATTCCTCGAAAATGGATCGGTCCACTTTCGGCAGCGCCGGCAGGGCGTCACGAAGGCAGGGCCCGTGGGGGCGAAGGTAAGGCCCGAACTCTGCTTCCCCAAAAACAAGACGTGGACAAACCAACACAAAGGGAGTCTTTGGCCTAGTTCCGGTATCATCGTGGGATGTTGGACGACCACATTCTGTCACAGGCGTGGGGCGTTGCTTAAGTACGAGTTCTTGCGAGTGAATGAGGGAATTAGGCAACCAATCTACTCCCTCAAATAGGTGATGTTTTCTCGTTCTTAATCGTTTGGGGTATGAATGACGCTTTTTGCAGGAACCCCACACCACGGGAGCCCAAATTATCCCTAAACCCTAAACCCTAAACCCTAAACCCTAAACCCTAAACCCTAAACCCTGAACCCTGAACCCTGAACTGAACCCTGAAAACCCTAAACCTGGGTCCAGAGGCCTCCAAGGGCTTTGGGGCTGAGCTACTGGCGTGGTCAGGTCTTTGGCAACGCAGGTGCCGACCTTCTTTGCCAGCTAATGCAGGCGCTTAAAAAGGGGTGTTTTTGTGAGCCCTAAACCCTAACCCCTAACCCCTAACCCCAAACCCTAAACCCTAAACCCTAAAACCTAAACCCTAAAGCCTAAAACCTAACCCTAAACCCTAAGCCGTGATGCACATGTAGGACTTTGCCGAGTTGGGGGTGTTGTTTGGTAGTCA